AGAATCTAATTGCGACGAAGATAAAAATTTAAGCACAGTTTCTAAGCCTAAGCCATCAAGGATTTTAGATTATTTTGGGGAAAAAAAAAGATAATTTGGATGAAATTACAAGTACAATGACAGCATTAGATGGTTTGCCATTTTGAGTGTTTTGCACATTTACTGAATTAAGAAAAATCAATATCTGGCAGAGGTTTTAAAAATCTACCAACATCGATTAACACTATAGAAGAAGTGTTTTAAACTACAGTAACAGTGTTTGCAATTCTTTGAAACATGAGTTAATACAACAAAAAGTAAATGGTGAAAAATTTAGTCTTACATTTGATGAATGGACAAGTGTAAGAAACAGATGCTATTTAAATACAAATATTCATTAATTCAAAAAAAAAAAAAAAAAAAAAAATTGGAATATAGGACTTAAACATGTCTTGGGAAGTATGCCAGCTGAAAAATGTGTGGAGTGCTTAAATTTTAATTAGGGAAACATGGATTATCGCTAAAAGAAGATATTGTATCCAAACGACTGAGGGAGCAATGGTTATGAAAAAAGTTGCAAATGAGAAATTATGCTATGCTCATGAAATTCAATTAGAAGTAACAGATGTATTATGCCACAAAAATAAAGACCAGAAGAACCTAAATATTGTAAATATAGAAACTTCTGATTCCGACTTTGAAGAGAGTGAGAGTGATACTGACAATGAAGATAATGAAATTGTTGAAGAAGATATTGCTAGCGCGAATGAAATATTAACTCATTAAGAATTGCTTCCTATAATAAATAAAGTTAAAAAAATTATTAAGATATTTAAACGTTCCCCTACAAAAAATGCCTTATTACAAAAATATATACTAACTAAAAATAAAACAGAAAATCAGATTCTAAAACATGTTGGAAGAGTTTACTCCTAATGATGGAACGATTTTTGAAACTGAAAAATCCAATCCATAATGCAATAATCGACTTAAATCTGCAAATTAATTTTTCCGATAGTGAATTCAAGTTAATAGAGAGAACTATATCAGCTCTACTTCTAATAAAATTGGCTGAGGAGGCATTATGTCAGAGAGATTATAATTAACTAACAGCTAATGCAACAATAAAATTCATGTTTCAGTTACTGAACAAACAGCCCACATCACTATCTGAAGAATTATATATAACATTGAAAAACTGCACAGAAGAAAGGCATACCAAAACAGAAAATGTCTTACGGTATTTACATAATTATAACGATTTTAAAAATGAATATGAAAAAGGAGACTAACCAAATCAAATCTGATCAAATTTATAGTAAATTTTCTTAGTCTTTTACCCACAACCATATCCACATTCAGAAGAATTTGGTACATTTATCGAAGATGACGATGACACTAATGCCGATATCTATGGTGAAAATGAATTGTCTCTTGAACAAAAATTATAATTAACGATAACTTAAAAAATTTCAACAAACCAAGATGCAATACAGAAATCAGTTATTTCCAAAACCATCCTACTCAAATTGATTTATTTGAAGATCAGGGATTTAGAGGTAAACACATGGAAAAAGCTAATCACGCATTGCTAACAGTACCACCAACTAGCGTAGATGCTGAAAGAGCATTTTTGACAGCTGGTAATTTTTTGCACAAAATTACGTTTCAGGCTTTCTGACAGTACAATTGACACATTATGCTTTTAAAGATCACATTTAAAAAATTTGTAACAGAATAGTGATACTTACACATTTTTTTTGCAATTTAAATACATAAGATGTTTCTTTACTATTTTGTGATTCTTACTCTCTAATAAAACTGGCCAATTAGACAAAAAAAAAAAAAAAAAAAAATGTTTCTTTATCTAATTCCTACTACTGGTATTAAAAAACTGGTATTCTGGTATTAAGATATAAAATAGCGAATACTGGTATTGAACTTTGGTCCGAAATTGCAATCCCTACTGAAAAGTCACAATGCAGGAAACTATCATGGAGATGTCATTACAGAGCTAAAGAGCAGCAATAAGCTAATAAGTTGAATACATATCTTGCTGTGACTACAGTTCAATCTTACCCATAAGGAAAACCATCCAGCATCCAAGTCATTCCTTGAGAAATACACTGAAAGGTAAGTCACCAACTAGCGTAGATGCTGAAAGAGCATTTTGACAGCTGGTAAATTTTTGCACAAAATTACGTTTCAGCTTCTGACAGTACAATTGACACATTATGCTTTTTAAAGATCACATTTAAAAAATTTGTAACAGAATAGTGATACTTACACATTTTTTTTTTTTGCAATTTAAATACATAAGATGTTTCTTTACTATTTTGTGATTCTTACTCTCTAATAAAACTGGCCAATTAGACAAAAAAAAAAAAAAAAAAAAAAAAAAAATGTTTTCTTTATCTAATATCCCTACTACTGGTATTAAAACTGGTATTCTGGTATTAAGATATAAAAATAGCGAATACTGGTATTGAACTTTTGGTCCGAAATTGCAATCCCTACTGAAAAGTCACAATGCAAGGAAACTATCATGGGAGATGTCATTACAGAGCTAAAGAGCACAATAAGCTAATAAGTTGAATACATATCTTGCTGTGACTACAGTTCAATCTTACCCATAAGGAAAACCATCCAGCTCCATCAAGTCATTCCTTGAATACACTGAAAGGTAAGTCACCAACTAGCGTAGATGCTGAAAGAGCATTTTTGACAGCTGGTAATTTTGCACAAAATACGTTTCAGGCTTTCTGACAGTACAATTGACACATTATGCTTTTAAAGATCACATTTAAAAATTTGTAACAGAATAGTGATACTTACACATTTTTTTTGCAATTTAAATACATAAGATGTTTCTTTACTATTTTGTGATTCTTACTCTCTAATAAAACTGGCCAATTAGACACAAAAAAAAAAAAAAAAAAAAAAAAAATGTTTTCTTTATCTAATATCCCTACTACTGGTATTAAAACTGGTATTCTGGTATTAAGATATAAAAATAGCGAATACTGGTATTGAACTTTGGTCCGAAATTGCAATCCCTACTGAAAAGTCACAATGCAAGGAAACTATCATGGGAGATGTCATTACAGAGCTAAAGAGCAGCAATAAGCTAATAAGTTGAATACATATCTTGCTGTGACTACAGTTCAATCTTACCCATAAGGAAAACCATCCAGCATCCAAGTCATTCCTTGAGAAATACACTGAAAGGTAAGTCACCAACTAGCGTAGATGCTGAAAGAGCATTTTTGACAGCTGGTAATTTTTGCACAAAATTACGTTTCAGGCTTTCTGACAGTACAATTGACACTTATGCTTTTAAAGATCACATTTAAAAAATTTGTAAACAGATAGTGATACTTACACATTTTTTTGCAATTTAAATACATAGATGTTTCTTTACTATTTTGTGATTCTTACTCTCTAATAAAACTGGCCAATTAGACAAAAAAAAAAAAAAAAAAAAAAAAAAAATGTTTTCTTTATCTAATATCCCTACTACTGGTATTAAAACTGGTATTCTGGTATTAAGATATAAAAATAGCGAATACTGGTATTGAACTTTTGGTCCGAAATTGCAATCCCTACTGAAAAGTCACAATGCAAGGAAACTATCATGGGAGATGTCATTACAGAGCTAAAGAGCAGCAATAAGCTAATAAGTTGAATGCATATCTTGCTGTGACTACAGTTCAATCTTACCCATAAGGAAAACCATCCAGCATCCAAGTCATTCCTTGAGAAATACACTGAAAGGTAAGTACCAGATGATTGACACTTTGAGAAAGTATTGCATATTATGACAAAGTCTGAGAAAATAAGTGGTTTGCAAGCACAAAGGGATTCATATCAAATGAATGTTAGCATGCACTACAAAGGTACACTTTGAAATATTATGGTGCTTTCATTTTTGGGGTGAAATCGAGACTCTTTTTAAGATGTATCAACCTGACATACTACTTGCTGCATGGTAATGTAGTCATTTAATGATTGCTACATGAAGCTATAGCTGTGGGTATATGATAAAAAAATCACGGTTTTGGTGAACTCCTGCATACTACATGATGTGGCTTTCAAAGAACAAATGGTCAAATCTTCAGTCTCATGTATGTGACATGTATTTTAAATGGGCTATATGGGGTTTATGAAAGCTTAACAAGGAAGGATAAACATAGTAGAGAATATGAATTCATTGCATCCACAAAGAAGATTCTTTAAAGCTCAACTCTTCTATAGTCAAGGTTTGCATTGAAAAATCACTACACTCATTAAAATTTCTCATTATAACCAAGTGAATAATTTGGATCACGTGTGCAATTTTTCATGTGAAAAATGTAATAAAACCAAATGCTTCATATCTGCCCTATTTAATGGAAGCAGCAACCATTAGGCTTGCATAATAAATGCTCAATGACAACTTCGATCCCCTTCCATACACTTCCAGCCCACAAGCGGCAAAATTGATGAACACTGGTAGTTTCGACATGGGTTCAATTTCAAGCAAAAGGGCTGGCTGCATAGCTGGTCTTCATGGCTTTCTCCTTGTGTAACGTGCATACAAGCCAGTTTCCCTTAGAAAGTCCTCCATGAAGACATTTCTTCCCTTACACAGAGAGTCTTAAGTGTGCTTTAACATAATCAACTAAACCAAACCATACACTTCCAAAGTATACTTCATTGGTTTCTTTTCCTGCTGAACAGCGGTACAATATTATGACTTACACATAAAATATAGTATTATTGGGTATAATCCATAATAACAGTTTTATTATATGTCATAAGTGCTTTCTAAAGATGGTTACTTATTACAATAGGTAGTCATTAATTATTCAGGAATGTATAAAGAATGTCAGTATAATTTAGAATTGAAGGTATCTCATCTGCACTTTCTTGTACACATTTCTTCTCTTTTGTGACAACGCTTTTGTACCATAAAATCCTTTACCTAGCAATAAATTAATAAAAAGGATGTAAAACCAATGGAAACTTTAAAAAATGCTTACCTGCTTTAGCAGCAAGTATATGAGAAATCTTTACTGCAGGGTCAACAGTTAATCCACTTTTTTTCTTCTTATATATATTCATTACCTGATCTGATTTACTCTATTTTAAATAGAAACATACAATCCATTAAAAAATTCTGTTTAAATGAAACAGTATGAGACCAATTTGTACAAGTTTACAACTATACAAATTTTTAAAAATGGTTTATGCTAATTTAAAAAAAAGGCATTAATCATTTTTAGATAGATCGACATGTGGCTCTAATCACCAGCAGTTGTACGGCGGAGATACATTTACTATTACACCACCTTAAAGATTAAAAGATATTATGGTAAATACTCAGGAAAGAAAAAAATTAGGTTTTTTAGTTGTATAATCCTCCTTTAAATTTATGAAAGTGATAGTGCTTTACATTCATTCGCCAAATACTTAGTTACACAAGATAAGGTTTTAACTGCAAAAGAGGATTAGCATAAAGATTGTGACATTAAGATAATGCGGCCATCTTTTATTAACTGCTTATAAGTGTCTTCTTTGCAAGAGATACCCACTGTGTCAGTTGTAGTTTTTCTACTGAAGAAACAATTTATCAAATGGCATAAAAAACTAAGGTTTTCATTCATAAATTTTGGAACAATTGGAAACGAAAATGATCCAGAAATCCAAAGAAGCCATTTAGTATGAACAGCACTGAATAAGAGAAGCTAGTTGTAAGTCATCCTATAAGATTCCATAGATAATTATCACAGATGGCAGAAAAGATTATTACATTAAAATATAGCCAAATCTTTATTAACACACCACTTTATCTGACATTCTCCACAAACAGATGGTTTAAGAATTTCTGGAATTTCAAAATAAGGGAACCATGCACTTCCATTTCTTAAAATGATTCCATTTACAATGCACCACAAAGACAGTTCAGCACGGAATTGGGAGAAGGAAAATTCTCAAGCTCTCTGACAAATTAAACCGATTCCTTTTATAAGACATTGAAAGAAATTACACTGAATCAAACTGATAGTAACATCCTTGTAAAAATTCACAGATTAATTTAAACCCCTCATTTCAGAGCTATCTTAAGTTTTCAACTGTAAACATGAGATAAAGATACCAAAATAACTGCATATTTTATCTTCAGTTGTAAAGATTATTTTAACTAATGACTGCTAAATAAACCTTTAGGGGAGAAAGAGAGAGAGCAATATTTTATACCTCACTGCTTTGCACTTTCAGAATGAGGAGAACAAATAAAGCACAAATAGAATGGCATTTGTAGTAACAATACCCTGACAGAGCATACAGGGAGAAACAGACTTCTGCCTTTATGAATGCAACTTGAAGACTGAAACCCTAGATCAGTGGTCGCCAAACCTATAGTGAATTATCAAACAAAAGGACTATCAACATTTAAAAAAAAAAAATCTCACATTTGCTTATTGTCTATAAAAGCAGTTATTGTCGTCACCGTAAGCTCAGTGGAGGAATCAAGTTTAGCCAACTGGAGCATTAAATGTGATCTACCAAAAACGTCTCTGTGAGTGACCGATGATGCTTTTATATATTTTGTATCTATGTTCTTTATTAACATTCATGGAACAGTTTACTGTTCTTTTAATTCTACAGAATAGTTTTTTTTTACTATATACTGTTGACTGAAGCTCTGGTTCTCTTGTTTTAACTGGAGGAGATATGCATGTACAAATACCAATGAGAATTTTCAGAAATTGATTATTCTTGAGGGAGAGAAATTATAAAAGTAAATCAAAAGTTTTTAAATCACATGCTAAAAAAGGGTAGAGTGAAAATATATGAATGAGTATGGTGTACATGAAAAATTAGTAAAGCATAATACATGTAATAATTAAATTCCTGAAGTCTAATAAATGAAATAACTCAAACAAAAGCATACATTAAAAAATTACATTTGCTACTTATAGTAACAAGCAGATGTGAGTACAATGTTTTATTTTCAGTTCAGCACATATGTTTTCTGAATATTTTTCTTTCAATCCATGTATGCTCATTATATCATATTTGAAAATTCTAACTCATTATCCCCCCCAAAAGTATTGAAGTTTACAAGATACAGCAGAAAGTTAAAGTTATTTGTGCAAATTTTGCAGATAAAACACAACTACAAAATTTATTTAAAGACTTCAACCTTAGTATTAATGATTTCTCAAGGATTATGAGGGACTTAAAAAATTCTTAACTTCCACATACTTTACATTACACAACATTACCTGAGCTACAGATATGTAAAATGAATAAAACATAATTTAGAAGACATATGTTTCAGGAATCCATAATCAATACTAGTTTAAACAATATAAGTAAAATAACAAAAGACAAGTGCTTCAGCCCTGAATGTCCATTATGAGCTTGCCTTATAATGGACATTCAGGATTGAAGCAAAAATATATCTTACCTTTTCTTAAGTGAATTCCTAGTTCCAGTTACCTAATTTTACCATGTGTAATAATAATTAAATTCCTAAAAATGTTAACAGTATAAACAAAAGTGTTTTTTTTTTTTTTTTTTTTTAAATTATGGAATAGTAGTTGAAATTTGTAAAGCTGTTCGAAATTTAGTCACAATAACCCCTTTCCCGACTAAAAAAAATGTATTAAAAAAGAAAGGAATAATTTTTGTACCTTTTTGCAAATTATTCACTAGACTGTAAGATACTTCCAGGAAGATTGCAGTAAATGGGGAAAGGGGTGGATGAGGAGCACTGCAAAACCTTCATAAGAAAGACTAAACTTAAAACACAGCAGTAGACCCTAATTTGTTGTACTGGCAAAATTATTCAAATTCATGGATGAGGGGCCGTGATTTCACCTTATTTACTGAAATTTGAAGCACATCATGAGTCTTAACACATTAAAGGCGGGAGTCGTAGTACTATGATTTATCTCGACTGTAGCTTAAAAAGGTGGGAGTCATAGTACTACACTTTATCTTGACTGTAGTTTAGTCGTACTACTACTATTTAGCTCGACTGTAGCTTAAAGGAGGGAGTCGTTGTAATACTATTGATTGCGCAATGTGGTTAACCACATTACATTTTACACAACCACATTACACAACCACTTTACATTTGTATTTAGTATGTTTTGTAATTTGAAGCTGTTCGGTAGATCAAATTCTACTTACAGTAAATTTTGAAATCCTTCAATATGATTTCACGTCAAAATAAGGATATATATGCAGATGATTTGATGGACATTGAAGAGCCACAACCTGGTACATCGAACTCTGCACCACGGACTCCATGATATAAAATTGATCCGCCTGGACGTCTTTCACTAGACATCAAAAAGCACAAATTAATTCAGATAGAAAATAAAGGCAAAAAGCTATATGCCCAATGAAACTGCGCAGTTTGTGCGGCACATAAAAAAAGAAAGTTTACTTGCTTCAAATGCGAGTTTTGCAATGCACCTCTTCATCGTGGCGAGTGTTATCAACATTATCACACTCAGAAAAAATACTAGATTCTTCTCATAAATATGTACTTTAAAACATTTTTTGTAATTAGTGTTTAGTCTTTATTAATATTTCTTGTAGTTTTAAGAGTTTAAATAAACTTTTTTAAGTCTAAATTTTTTATGATTACACAAAATAATCGCCCACTCTAGGACAAAAAACGAGGTGAAGCGGTCACCGCATTACCTAGCATACTTTCGTCAAGATCCCCCTGCCTTTAATGTGTTAATACTAAAAACTTGATAAGTAGAAAATTCAAAATGATTACTGTAGATTGGATGTTATTGGAAGACAACTGCCCTAAAGAAAATGCCTTCATTTTTTTTTCCCTGATATAAAAGCCTATTCTGACTCTATGTGCCTACACAACAGTTAATACACTAACACAGTAATTTCGAGATTCCGTATAAAATTAAGCTACACAGTGACAGGTATAATGAAGAAGCAGAACTTAAAACATCTTTGAAAATATCAAACACATTAAACATCTTATTCAAAAATTAAATATACTGTGGTACCTTGGTATATATCTGCTTTAAAATACGTACTGTTTGGATGCAAAAATGTCACAAAGAAGTTGGAACTTAAAAACATCTTTGAAAATACCAAACACATTAAACATTTTGTTGAAAAATTCAGTATATTGTGACACCTATGTGTACATCTGCTTTGAAATACATACAACTGGGTATATGTGCTGTTTGGATGCAAAGATGTTTAATATATTTGGATTATGACTCAATTTTCATAAGTTCTAACTATGCACACTGCTTTTTTTTACCTCTTTCAAGACACTGCTCTGAACGACCATAAGCATCAGTATGTCTGTTGCTATTCTGAATTTCCACATGACTTTTTGTTTTCTAGCATTGTTAACAATGAGTTTTAAGAAAGTTAAAGTGAAGAGTCAAGCAGCAAAGAAAATGGTTATGATCACATCACCATGGAGGTGAAAAAAAAAGTGTCGAAAAAAAAAAAAAACCCATGAAGATGGGTATCCAGGACTTGACAACTGCATACCATACGCTGAGAATGATGGTACCTATGATTATGAAAAATAAAGGCAAGACCAAATAGGCTAACACTGCAAAGGGCTTGAAACTGATTACCAAACAATCATGTTAATAAGTTTTATGCTGGCAAAGTCTTATGTGAAATTTAACACCTATTATGAATTTCACATGAATATTGGCTCTATATAAAAGTAATACTGCAATACTTAGCAATGTACAAAGCAATACTTAGCAATGTAATAAACATGTTATTTGAGATTAAGTCTTGAAAACAGTAGATATGGAGGCACTATTGTACATGAATACTGGCATGCGAGAATATGTATGCATTACTGCTTTTTTGAGAGATAAGTTAGCAATAGTACTTACTTTTAACCTCTCTGACCAACAGAAAGATTTTACTGTTACATCTAAACGTGTCAGAAGCAAATTTCTCCTAGCCTTATATTCTAGATATATTTCTTGATAGAGACGTTCAAGTTGAAACCATTGTTTCTCTGTTAAGTATCCAGAAAACAATAACTCTCCCACTACTTCCTTGGGAGAAAAAGGGTGGCTCAGTGACTTAAGCTGCAGAAGAGGAAGAAATGTTATGCTAAAGCATGAGAAAATTTTCACAATGAAACTGTCTATATTACATTTTAAAGATCTAACATAGAAACTACATATGGTGGTGAATGAATGTAACAATTGTATATAATGAATAACAGAACATAGAGTATGATGCAGGGACAGTAAAGGTTTGGTATCATAGGAATATTTTTTACCACTGAATAACTGTTCCTTTTACTGTCACAAAAATATTGAAGGCTATTATTTTTAGGAATGAACATATAATCCCTACACACACAATATACAATCTTTATTATTACAATTTTATGTAGACTGTGAATGGCAAATGTATTAAAAAAAGAGAGGAAAAAAATTATTAGAAATTATGTTAAAAAGATTGATGTCTTAAAAAGTAATAATTTTCTTTAAAACATAGTAGTGGAAACGTTCTTATACAAAAAAATAACGTTTTTGTGATGTAGCAACTGCTACATTCATTGGCGACCTGAGTTAGTAATGGTAAATATTATGGGAAATAGTGAGAAGATAGGAAACCAGTCAAATGGTGCCAATTCTTTCAAAACTATGAAGGTAAGTGTAAAAATTCCTCTTTTTTGAAAAGCTAAGCCAGAAATTTGGTTTTATCAGACAGAAGCACAATTTAAAATTAATGGTTATATCTAATGAAGATGCCAAATTTAACTACATTGTCTCACAAATGGAACCTAAATATATAGATATTATTTGGAACTTAACTGATAAGGATGAAAATAAATATTTGTTGACAAAAGAACATTTATTAAATGTATTCAAAGAAAGTGAAAGCAAGCTAATCAAACCTTTTCACCGAAATCGAAACTGGCAACATGAAACCAAGTCACCTATTACAAAAAATGAAATCCTTGGAAACCAATGATATTTCTGACATGGTATTAAATGCTCAATATTATGAACTCTTCAAAACCAAACTATAATGTTCTTAAATTGCATAGAAAAGTAAAGAGTACAAAAAACAGGAAGATAAAAATACCTGCTGTTGGAGACAACAAATCATTGTAAAAAATTATTCTAATTGAAAATAGAGCAATATGAACCTGGAAATGGTGGCATGCTAATAAATCGATTAACTCTTAAAGAATTAATTAGATATTATCTTTTTATAGAAACTTTTTATTTCCTATTAAGTACAACATCCCTTTCTATTAAGGCCCATCCACACGACTACGCTCGAAACGTAGCTGACGAACGCGCTTTTACGTTACCAGCGAAAAAGCTTCCAAACGAGTACTCTTGCAAAGAGTGCGTTTAACCAATAGAATTATTTTGCACAAAAATCACGTGGTGCTTTAATATAGCATCAATGGAGCTGCATTTTGTTACTTCGCTGTGCTTCTATATGTTTGCGGCAAGTTGCCCGAATCAGGTGATTTTTTGATAGCTGAAACTTTACTTCATTAAGCAGAGGCAAAACCGCAAAAAAATGACGAGAATGGTTTCCAAAGATTTATTTAGAGCGACCTGTTCAAAGAGATTTTTTTTTTTTCTTTACTGCCTTGTTTGTGAAATGAATATCCGGAATTATTTAATTCCTACTATTAGCTCACACTCTCCATATATCTTGTTCAAATTTTCAGTCATTAATAAAATACTTTTTTTTCATTCACTCAAGTTCAAATACAATTTTTCAAACTTGTAGTGGATGACACTTGATGTTAATACAGCTTTTGGACATATTAAATTTTTTAAAATTTTTAATTAAAAATTCTGTTTGTATTTTTATTTATGTCTTTTTTTATTTTCTTGGCGGACCTAAGTAGGAATTAACTTATTTTTTTTTTTTTTTTTTTATATTACTTGCTTTTTAATTACTTCAGGGTGAGTATCGACCAGTTTGACAGACTTGCAGATTCTATATTGTATGAAAATTAGGATTTATAAAATTGGTTTGGAATACAGTATATAAAGAGAATTAAATTACTTAATTCTCTTTATATACACCATCCACCATATAATAAAACTAACTTCCTATTTTTTTAACTCCCCCTCCCTTGGTCTTTTGTTTTTCTTTTTATTTACTTTTGAATTTAGAATGAGGTTCAAACTTTGACAGTTTATGAGAAATTATGTGCATGATAAAATATGCAATAAAGTAAAAACAGAGAATTTATAGATGATATATGATAAAGAGATGCAGATATATTATTACATAAGGGTTTCTATTTGCAATGCATATTTTTAAACTAAATTAAAAACAATAATAATAATGAATAAAATAAGAAATGAAAACAATAATAATAATAGGTAAAATAAGAAAATAATGATTCATGATTAAATATAAGAAAAATGTTTCAAATGAGAAAAGCTAACTGAATTATATAATTTCTACGGGTGAGGTTCGAACTTGCCACCTTTCCATTTGCAAAGCAGCGCGCTGACCACTCAGCTATCTGTGATAGCAGTGTATGCGAAAAATAATGTAAAAAAGTAGAAGTGACTGCAAAGGTAATTTAATTAAACTTCAATAAATGATTGCTGTATGACACAAGTTGTAACTTTCTTCCAAAATTTCGTAATTGTATTTTATCGAATACTCTTTCACAGTCAACTGCTTTATTTTAGAAGTTGTTATATTGCTGAAGTTAGATTTGGTGTATTTAATATTGGGATATTTATAGAGCTTTTTATTACACATGATATAGCCAATATTTATGATAATTAAGGAGAATTTTGTAAGGCAGAAACATTGATTTCGTAGAAACTGCAATTTATTTAGGTTCCTATTACTTACGGTGTTATAAACAGGTGAAGCATATGGATATACTGGTCAGAACATTGCTTTATAAATATACAGTTTTCCCCTTTAATGATAATTTTAAATTTATATACAAATACATATGGTTTGAGAAATCTGAAGATGGCGTGAACAATGCTGATTATTTTATTGCTGTATACAGTTATGATATTTCCAAGCAAAAACTCATCTCTGTGTGGTTCTGACGCCATATTGAAATGGGTAAGCAAGGTTTTCTGATTATGAAATGTGACAAAAACTCGGTCAGCTATTGACTATACGCGCGCGTCGTGAGCGAACTCAGTTTTACGTCTTCTGCGTCACGCGAATTTACACCTGAGTCAACTACGTCGCAAGCGTACACGTGTGGACGGGCCTTTACTCCTTTTAAAAACATCATTTACAACAAATTCTGTTATGTCTATGGACTAAAAGAATATTTGTGAATATAAAAATGGATTATTTTGCTAGGCTTTAAGTGGCTATGTACCTTGAACAAAGGTCAGACGGCACAAATTTATGAGTATTAGATAAACAGGATGTTGGAGTATTTAATTTTTGAATTAATAGTTAAAAATACTTTGTTTCTTTGCACACAACCAGTGGTAGATGTACCATCAGTTGAGAATCGCTTGTATATACTGTTTTTGCAATTTACTGAAACTGTTAAAATAGGATTTCATGTCTTATTATATTTTGTAAATGGTTTAACATGCCAAATAGTTTTCTCAGGCTTATTTTATTATCTGTTTGCATCACACATTTGGTTCTACTGTTTTGATTTGCTTTCATGGTGCAGCTTTGCATGCTAATTAAAATTAATTACTTTTTTATTCCTGCTAGAACTTATGCTATTAAAATTGAATTTTAATTGAGTAAATTTCTTACAAACCTTAGATTTTTTTAAAATTTTGTTTTGAAAATGTTCAGCACAAAAAATGACACATTTTGAAAATTCTTATGCAATGAGGTTTAATTAAATTTTAAAAAGAACGGGAAAAAATGCAGAATATCATATCAGCATGTTTGGAAAACTGATATACTCATATATAAAAACTAAAATTTTTAATAAAATATAAAAATATTTATCATACATTTAAAAGCTTGTTTTGCTGTATAAATTATTTATTACCATTACAATGAAATTTACCTTCTTCTCAACTTCAGTAAAAAGTTGTTGAGGTGTGATAGTGTCAGGAGGTTTACCAAAACGCAGAGAAATCAGCATATCTTTCAATTCTTTAGCTGTATTTGATTCAATCTGTTTAAAAGCAAGTGGATCTCATAATCATTTACACCATATTTAATGAATATACATGTTTTACATAATAAATTGATACACAGGTGATAAAATTACACTAGCCTGTTATTTAAATACAAAAATATATTTTATAACATGAAATTAACTACATTTTGTTGATTTAGGCAATACATACTACAAAAACTTTAACTTGCATCAACTGCCCAGAGAAATGAAAGTCAAAATTACCTCCCTCCTCAAAAAAAAAAAAAAAAAAAAAAAAAAAAAAAAATTTTTTAGTTGTTTCTAAAAGCATCTGAAATTTCTTAAAAGTATCTGAAAAAAATTCTTTTAATTTACTTACATTTATGGTGCCTAGGTCACACCAATTTTGTTTAAACAAGTCTTTGTTTGAATTAAGTACGTAATGCTTTCAGATTAATCATACTGGTTCTTCATTTTCTAGTGTTACATGAGAAGATATAATTTTTGCACTGAAAATGGTCCAAATTTACTTTGATGTCAGGCAAGTAACATTACGACCACATTAGCTTTTCTTTTCACTTTAATTTCATTCTTTCCTTCTCAGTACACTGTGTTTCCTAAAATCCTATTATTTTTAAACATATCAAAATGAAAATAGTGATTTTTATTGATTGATGCTTTCTATTGATGCAAATTCTCTGCTTTCAAACAAGTGCTTCAATTTCAACGCGGTTGTGACAGTCTATAGAAGCGTTTGAGTACATGAGTTTAAATGGCAATATAAAAATTTCTGAAATGTGATTCCGATTTTTTTATACAATAAAAGATTAATTAAGGCTAAAATAAGATAAATGGAGGACAGTGCTGTTTGCTTGAAGCAGAAGAATCTATTAAAGCTATCACAGTACAAAGTCCGTAATTCGGACTCGTCGGGACTTTGGTGATTCCGGATAAGGGGTTTTTCTGGATTATTGATCATCAATTTAAATCTGGTAAGATGGCATGCAGAAATTATACAATTAAAAATACGAAACCATAATTATGAAATAAAGAGCAATTATGATCTAAAGGGTATCAAAATTTACAAAAAAAAAGCTTAATATTTGTTTATTTTATTAAACATTTCTTTCAATGCAAGTTGTTCAAGTTGCTTCACTTTTTGTGCTAATACTTTCTCTTTAAATTCTCTCTTCTATGAACAGACATAATTTCTTGTTCAGTTACAAAGTTCCACTGTTCAAATCCCGTAATTACTATGTTGAAAAACCGACTAAACTTGTCAATCGAAATTCTTTCGTTTTCAATAACAATAACATTTTGTTTTCGTTTCTATCTACGAAAACGTTTTTTCTCTGTCACTTTCTTCACTATTGGAAGCGCGCATGTGTAAACACTTTACTGGCTTTACGCGCATGCGTAGCGGATGCGCGCATCAAACGTGCATGCATAAGTTTGTGGCTTTGAGGTCCATATTATAGACCATTCCAGATAATGGACGTCCAGATTACGGAATTTGTACTGTATTCCTTTGGTGTTGACCTCTTTATAATTCCTTGTATTTGAGAACAATCTCAAACAAGTGCATCAGTTGCCCAGAGATCAGTGATCCAAGACTTAATGCACATTCCAATGATAAAAATATGGCTAAGCACAACCAATGAATTTCTATGGAAAATAATAAGAGCAATGGTTACTACAACTGGAAGGCCATATCTATCTCTACTGACGAGGAAGTCTTCTAAACTTGAACTGTCAAATTTCCTCAAAAAATAAATATACATTTAATCTAGACCATATCTGTATAAAAATTAACTGTTAATATTCTATAGCTAATAAAAAAAGTGTAAATATGCAGTTTTTAATTGGCAATGGCAAAACTTGCAACAAAATTTTAGAATTTCATTAATTCTGCAAAATAGCACTTGCATTGACAAATAAAGTAGATCTATATATTTTTTAGTTCTTATTCACAATTATTTAGATTTTCTTTATAATATTATGTACTTCTAAATGAGCAAAAGCAGTGTATTGTTGCTTTCCAGCAATTTCCATGTTTTGTTATGAATGCTTAAAAAGTTTTTTTTTTTTTTTTCCTCCCCCCCCCAATAGAACTGCAATTTGCATTTACTTAAAATCTTATCTGGACTTGAGGGGTGGGCCAAATACTTGTTTTGACGTTATTGCCAAAGTCTAAACATTAAGGAGTTACTGGTTTGGACTTTTAGTTCTACACAATGTCTTTTGAAAGATTCTAGAGCAGACATTTAAAAGATTTTACCCAAAAGGTTATTAAACTGAAAAATTCAATTTCTGAGATTTAAAATAAATGATTGAGCGTTTGAAGATGACCAATCTGCTTCGATGGCTAGAGTTGGAATGGGTGGTTTATGTTCGAACATAACTAAAGCATATCAACCTACAGTATTTTATCTCATTTTTACTATGTCTGCCAGTTAATTTTTACATGCACAAGAGTTCCAAGAGAAATTGCTTCCCTACATCAGTTGAAGAAACTGGCTCTGAAAATGAATTAAATATCTTTATGTCAAATAATGAATTTGGGAAAAGAAAAAAAAGACTACCACCTGAAGCCTCAATCATGTATTACAATATTAAAGAAAAAAAAGGGCAGTGAAATTCTGCGAAGTATAAGAAATGATTCATACAAAATCAATATGTAGCTTGGAATAAGCTCAAAGTAAAATTCAGCCACTGAATTTTCATTTTAAAACGGGAAATGGCTCATATTCACGTTACACATGGAAGGAAACAAAAATTTCCATACAGCTACTCTGTTCATGATTTGAACACAAGTTGAATGAGCTGTGCTCAGTAGTTTTACTGCTAAACGACTGGTAGCCTTTTCATTTTAAAACATTTATAATACAATTCAGTTCACTAATTTTAATTGTGTAAAATATGTTAACACTTTAATCTTTTTAACTACATTCGATCTGTAATCAGTGTATATATTATTGCATATAGTAGCAGCATTTGTATCATGCTAAAACATGACATCTTTCCATGATAAAAAGATTTCAAAAATATTTTGTACGCTAGCCTAGTTTTCCAAAATTAAGTTTCCATCATTTCTATTTAACATATAAACCCATATGCACTGACTGCCAAAATATGTTTGCTTACTTTTCAGCACTTAATTCATTATTTTATACTTCTGTTATGTGAATCAATCAGCTTAGTGACTGCTGAGTTTTTAAATCTGCATTTTGAAAATTTTAGCTTGCCAAATAGTACTGCATTGCCAAATCTTGTTATTTTTTAACTATCTATAGAACATACTTTTTTATTCTTAGGCATTTCTGTTGAGTAGATTCAGTCATATTTTTAACACAAAAAAATTGAGAGGTTTGGAAGACATTCCGTATGACTGTAAAGGACTACACCTTGAAATAACTTATGGTTGAGTACAGTACAAAGTCCAAAATCGGGACGTCCATTATCCGGAATAATCTAAAATCCAGACTTCAAAACTACCAACAATGTTTTTCTCGTAGGCTTTATGCATGTGCATTTGATTCCCCCTCAGCGCATAATAAAACGTCTGGAGAGTCCCGATTCTTAATTTCACTTCAACACTAAATAAAATAACCTTGTTTTGAAAAACAACCAAACATAAATTTTGTTGATCTTAATTGGCTCCATTGTTATTAGCTTGGCACACATCAAACTGAAACATTCAATAGATAGATACCACGGACCGGCAACCTGGCGAATCATTATTATTATACTTCCTTTCATCATGGCATGTTTATCAACTGAGTAATGACTCATGTATCGAGCCTAAACCAGTTTTTAGCTAGTAATTGAACAATAATGGAGTGTGGTAACCTTTCATGTTGGCATTGCGCTTGGCGATGATTACAGATTTAAGTTAAATGCACTAAAAAATGTTGATGAGGTAAAATTTACTAAAAATTTCTTTCCATATGCTAAAAATAGATTTTGTTGATGATACTCATAGACCTAAAGATTACATTTAGGCTATTTGAATTAAGAATAACTGATTTGTTATTCACATAAACCCAGAACTAGTGCCAGGGCTCATATAGTCGCAGAATTTAGGACCCATACAGACTGCATCACGCAGTAAGATATCTAGTGCCAGCTCTCAATAAAATATATGTGGGAATTTATTCATCAGACTCTGATAGCCTTAAGCATTGCAGAATAGACATAAGTTAATAAATAATTACTATAATTCAGGCTTATTGGACCCACCCGGCCGAGCTGGAAAGTCACTGAACCTGGTAGTTCGCTCCGAGGTTCGATCCCGCGAAGGTTTGCTGCATGGGTGTTTTCATGTTTCCCCATGTGTAACGTGTATAACACCAGTTCCCTTAAAAAGTGTGCTTGTTGCCATAATTTAAATACACCTCCAGCTTAATTGTCTCAGTGCACAATAGAAGCAAGATAAAATTTAACGGAACAACTTGTCATTAGTTGCCAAGCTCAAGATGCATAGCCAAATTTGATGATTACAGCCACTAATTTTAAAGGTTTTCGGATATCGCAAAACAAAGGTGAAATTTTCCAATCAACCGATTGTGTAAAGAAATGTGGTAATAAATTATGATGATATAAAAGAAGTTTTTCATTGTGATGACAATGCTTTTCAATCATCAATCAATTAATGAATGGCAAAATCTGTAGTATGGTTCTAGATCCAGAAAATACCACTACCGATAGTGAAGAAAGTGACAGAGAAATTACTGAAAACGAGAAAATTTCGATTGACAAGCTAGTCGGAATTCGTGAAGCAGCAGTTACAGGACTTCAAGATTACGTCTGTCTACAGAATTAAAGAGAAAGTATTAGCACAAAAAACGAACAACTTACATTGAAAGAACTGTTTAATTAGGTAAACAAATAAATACTAAGTTTTTTTTTTTTTTTTTTTTTTTGTAAATTTTGATAACCTTTAGATCATGAATACTTCATCATTATTTCATATTTTTAATTTCATAACTTCTACATGCCATCTTACTAGATTTATCTGGAAAAATCCCAAATCCAGAGTTGCAATGAGTCCGGATTTTGGTGT